CTTGTCACGGTTGCAGCTGGTTAGGACATGGTGTTGCGGATCAGGTTTCTTGAACAAAAAAAAAAGGAATAACAAGCTCATACAAAAATAATAATTATTATAATAATAGTAATATAAAACAATAGTGTTTATATAATTTCATATTTGTACAATTTAACCGCATTTACACAGCCAGCATACTCTAATGGGTAACACTTGCAATTACTTTTCCAACCCATTGACTTTGTTGGCGATGACAAGCATTCTTTTCATCTTTCCGATGCTTTTTGAACATCTTATTTGTGAGGATCAATCCCTCTGAAGGACAAAACGTTTGGTAGTTCCCCACACAAGCCTCTCTGTTTTGATCAGTCTTGATTTTGAGTGTTGGCTGGTATGAAACGTTTCCTCCTGCTTGCGTTTCTGTGCTAGAACGGCCCAGGCTGAACTCCTCAGTCTCTGAGCCTGCAGAGTTTATGAGTCAAAGGAAGCAGAGAAATATAGAGATCCTCTGTGAAAATAGAGGTCCAGGTGTTCTCTACTGTCAGCGTTTTTTGAAGGACCGAACAGTTTGTTGTGGGGGAACTATTTGGGGGATGCATGGTTCTTCAGGTTCAGACTCTCTTAAGAAGACAGAGTCCGGCTCGGAGGAGCAGGTGGAACTTCGTTCATTCAGGATGACCTGAGAGTACATGGGCTCCAGGGGCACACAGAGGTCCAGATACTCCTGAAGGGAAACACATACGTTAATAAGTAATTCCCATAATGCACTGGAATGAGAACAGTGAACATTGTCATCCAAGTTTGCGCGTGTAGGATGCTTCAATTTTAAGCCAAAGCCTTAACAGAGTTGCCCATGATGCACATTTCAAATCAGTTACTTGTGAGGATAAATTTTGAGTAGGATGCGGACTTGAAAAGTAGCTACCAACACAGTGTGCTGGCCTTACCTGATTGGACATCATGGACAGGGTGCGATCAAGGTCTTCTACCAGCTGTTTAAAAGTTGGCCTATGTGTGGGAACCGCATGCCAGCAGTCTTTCATCATCAGGTATCTGAACAGAAAAAAAAAAAAAATCTTATTAGATTTTATTGCGCACAGTGCATTAATGCATTTCATTCTAAAGAAAAATATTTGAATTACTGCTAAGTAACCAATATTGGAAAAAAATATAAACTTGTACAAAAATGATGTGTGCCACATTTTTGAAAGATTTTATTTATTTATTTATAGTTTTATTCAAATAATAATATTAATAATGTTAAATATAATCATATAATTAATTAAAACTAAATTATTTTATTATTAATAATAATAATAAGTAATCGGTTTCACTTAATATTTATTTATTTTAATAATAATACATTTATGTATATATTTTAATAATAATAATAATAATAATAATGCTACTAAAATAAATCAATATTAAAATAAATCAATTAAACAGCCTATTTCCCTCAATAATGTGTCATTATGGAAGTTAAATGTCTTGTGAATTACATTTTAATACAAGTTTTAAAAAGTTTTTATTTAATTAAATTCAGAAGCATTTTTTGTTGCAAATTAAAATATCTGAACGAGCCATTTTATTCAAAAATAAAAGTTTTAATTTCTACTAAGGTAACCAAGAGTGGGAAAATTATTATTATCATTATAAAAGCAAACAAACAAATAAATTATAGAATATTTTTCACTCAATGTGTCACTACGAAAGGTTACATTTTTTGTTAATGCCATTTTTAAAGATTCTATTTAATAAAATTAAGAGGCATCTTTTAGGCCGTGTCCACCAAAGCGTTTTAGCCAGCTAAAAACAGCAGCGCTCTTCTGATAACACCAAGCTGTGGGCGCTAGAGAGCATTTCTGCGACGCAGGGTCTTTTTCAGTTAAGACACTACAAGTTCTCTGATACGGAATATCCACGGAAATGTTACTAGTATCTATACTAGTGAATATAATGATGTCGTATTTGTAAAGTATATAAAGTATTTGCTCTGGTTCTTGTTTTCAATGATTTTGTTCCACTGTTTGTTGCTGATGTACAAGCAGGATGTGGTGGTGGTGGTGTGGTATTTGTCCCGCCCCTCTTCCACTGTGATTGGATGGCTGGGTAAAAAGTGACAGTGATGAGCACTGCGTTTTACCCAAAGTTGAACATTCTTCAACTCTCAGCGACCGGTAAAAAACACATTGAGTTCAGTGTTAAAGAGACGGCTTAGCGCCTTGTCACGCTGCAGCCGTTTGAAAAAAAAAAAAAAACATTGAAAACAATTGGAAAAAAAAAAATCGCTAGCCTCGGGGAAAAAAATGCTTTGGTGGACACACGGCCTTAATCACTAATTAAAATATGTGAAAGGGCCGTACAGCTCCTGAGTGCAGGCTGAGGGTCTGTCCATGCGATGACCTTCTCGCAGTAGCTTGAAGAGCTCTTCCACAGGGACTCCGGGATACGGCGAGCCCCCCAGAGTGAAGATCTCCCACAGAAGGACCCCAAAAGACCACCTACAAACCCGAGAGCACTTCATCAGTACCAAGACATAACTAAGAAACAGAACTTTTATAAAGTGAAAGCACTGATGTGAGGATGGAATGGAAAACAAATAAACTATCTTACACGTCACTTTGATGCGTGTAAATCCTGTCAAACAAAGCCTCCGGTGCCATCCATTTGACAGGCAGCCGGCCCTGAAGAAGAAAAAAAGATGTTCACTTGTCATAAATTGAATATTTGGACTATAATTTTATGACTGTTTGAAGAACTGACTGCTTACATTTGTAGTCTTCTTGTAGTAATCTATGTGATGAACGTCCCGGGCCAGACCAAAGTCTGCTATCTTCATTACATTATCCTCTGTTACAAGTACATTGCGTGCTGCCAAGTCTCTATGGATACACTGTTGAGGAGTGCACAAAGACCAAAATATTTATTTTAGCCCACCCTTTGAAGAAATTATGAATCGAAAGCGTTGCATTATTGTTTTTTTTATTAAAAAAAAAGAACAAATAATGTGACAACAATACCTTTTTGGATGCCAGGTACTCCATGCCACGGGCCACCTGGTAGGCACAGGAGACCAAGTCTTTAATAGACATGCTCTCGATAGAAACCTGGTCAGGATTGTAACAGTACTCCATGCCAAGCGGTCGGCGGGCACGCAGGTATTCCCGCAGGTTTCCTTTAGAGGCGTATTCCACAATGACATAAAGAGGGCCTGGAGGAAGGAGATATAAAACAAACATTTCCAGATGTTCCAGCATCTTCAAATGCCACATGACTGTAAGAATCCTCAGATGGGCTTTTACCATCCTGGGTACAAGCTCCGAGCAGGTTGATGATGTTCTTGTGTTTTCCAATCATCTTCATCATCTCCATCTCTGAGATGAGGTCCGACAGGTCCTTCTCAGTGGCGTCAGCTAATAAAAACATGCAACATGTTGATGAGGTCTGGTTCTACACAAGTAAACATCTGATAAATAATGTGTCATTAAATAATGTGTCACAAAAGTCATATTCTTAATCAGTATTTTTGTCTGATTTTCCAGGAAATAAATAACTAAAGGCCTCACACTAAGGACGATAACTTTAATAATGATAAAGATATAGTTCTAAAGATTGTCTGAAAAGTCAATTATAACGATAACTGCACAGAAAAACGATATTGTTGAAATCCCTTTCAGAACGATTTTTTTCCAGCTGATTAACGATAAAAGCATTGACAGCCAATCAGAACCCTTCCTGCTTTAAAGAGCTTGAGCTTTTAAAGCGGCAGATGATAAATTGCAGGGCACTTATAATAAACAGAATAATGTTCTTTGTTGATCTGGATGTTAATAGTTATTTTTATAGTTATTGGTATAAATGGGCCTTAAACCTTAAAATAAAGAGAATATATTGTATTATATTATTAAAAATGATTATTAGTATTAAAATAAATAAATAAATGTGATTATTTTAGAAAAATATTATTCTGGATACATAAAATAAATAATAAAAATATAAAATGAAATTAAAAAACTATTTGCCAATGGTGTATGAACAATTAACTTAATTCAAGATATATTTCAAATCAAGTAAGAGTATAAAGAAAATGTACACAATTTTGCTCAAAGTAAATTTACCTTGTTTTAAGAATTTTTACAGAAAAACACGACAAAACACTTTTTTGCAGAGCAATATATTCTGGTCCCTCCTTCAATGTAAATGTAAGAGTTTTTTGTAACTTTATCAAAAATCAGTCAGATCCCTTAGAATCTTCATCAAACCATTTCATGGTGTCTTTTAGGCTGTTAATTTGCAAAACCACATACATTTCAGCATCTTCACAGCGACTTTCGTTATTCGGTTGGGCTTGTCCTTGTCCACTCCAATGGCTTCACCCATCACCACCAGACCAAAGCAGCCCTCTCCCAGAGGTTTCCCAAGTACTAGCCTGTAACAAACATACAGATGAACAAAATTTCAAAATGATTTCTAAGTTGACCCTTGTACACAGAAAATTAAGTGAGAGAAGTTCAACTTTCAAATGAGCAGTGGTCGTACCTCTCTCGGGGCACCTCCCAGCACGGGTCCTGGGGCAGCTCGTACTCAGAGACCCCTGACAGCATGGGGGTCCCGCTGGAGGAAAGTCGCGAAGGTCGGACCAACATCACACCAGAGTTCAGAGACGAACTGGATTCCACCGACACCTGTAGGTGGAGGAAGCAGAACAGGTGTTTGTAAAGGCCTTAAGATGGACCCAAGGGTCTTTCTTTAAGATACCAGTACATCAAAGCCCTTATCCGTTACCTGTCTGCGGAGAGGAATGCTTTTGGCCAGCTTATGGACGGCCAGCTGGCTGTTGAAGTCGCTCTTCTTGGAGGAGCTGCGGACTTTGACGATGGTGGCGATTCCTACCATGAGGAAGATGAGGAAGAATCCCACGCAGTAGATCAACACCTCCAGGTAGGACTGACTGGGAACTGCAGAGGGAGCGATGGGTGCTTATGGGGCAAACACAACGCTATGGTCAGTAACCAAAACTAGATTTATACCTCTTCTGAAGAATGAGCTATGGGGTTTTAAATATTTATCGGGCTGTTGCTATTAAGAAATATTTTTCTGAAAAAGTAAAAAAAAAATATATATATAATAGTGATGGTTGGCATAGAAAACAACATTAATAAGGTTGAATCCACTTATACAGTTTCAACTGACATCAAAAACACCTCGGTTACTGTGTCTACAGCATTAAACAGTGCTTTGGACTGACACACACTGGTAGATGCTGGTGACAGGCACACACGCACACGTATCCACACATACACACACACACACCGAGCTCTGTTTTATTTCAACCAGTGCATTTGACACTATTGGCACCGAGAAGAGAGCACAAGCTCCCTTTGTTGCCACATAATGGCTCCTTTGTGGAGTAGTATTTCGCCCCACATTCTCCACCGGCATGGGGCTGCAGTCGTCCCATGCACAAGTATGAAATGGAAACATCCTGGCCAAATTGTCCTGGGAGGCCAAAGAGACACAACCACACCTGATGGGTTGTTATTAAATTAAAGCATCGTATATATAGATTTGAGCTCTTCTGCAATATTATGCAATGGTTGAAATAAAACAAAGTCTCCAGAAGATAAGGAACCAATTTTTTGTGTTGCTTGATCATTAACAACTTCCTATATTTTAATGATGCAGTGATAACGCACACCTAGTCACAATTAACTCCGATTATAGTCAATAAAATGATAAAGCTGTTCCAAAATTATACTGTTACCCATATGGCATTTTAAGGCATCATAATCATGCTCCACACACAATGGTGGTTAAAAGATTATGCTGCCTTATAAGATAACTCATTTTTGACGAATTCTAAGGCAGCATCACATGCATTCTTTCCAAAGAAGGCAATCCCATTATGCATTGCGACTAGCTTGGTAAAAATAAATAATCCCAGATGGTGCACAAGTTGAGGAAAATGTTATAAATATGTTGATATTATTTCAATCAGTAGTACTAAAAAAGTATGAATAAAAATAGTTCAATTGACTATTTTAGCCAATATTTTTCATGTGCTATTTATTTGAATGCCTATTAGAGCAGAGGTTCTCAACCGGTGGCCCTCAGCAAACTTCCAAAGGGGTCCTCAAGATGACTTAAAATTATTAAAATAAGACATAAAAAGCATTCAAATAAGCCCAAGCAACAACTAAAATAAAAGATATTTCTTATTTTAATTTACCCCCTCAAAAACTTTTATTCCTTTCGAAGATCCAGGGTTCCCACGGTCTTGATACATAGCCTAATTTTAAAAGTGTGATTACTAGACCTGGAAAAGTCTGTAAATTAAAAAAAGTCTTGGGCTTTAATTTATAAAACTGCATAAGAATTTTATAATGAATATACTTTTTTTGTCATCTCAAGCTCTAAAATTGCAATTTCTAGTGGAAGTTATTGCAAAGTAATTGCAAATTTGTGGGGCGCAAGAAGTCATAGCCTATACTGAGTTTTCCAAATATGCTACTTATGAGGTCAATCACAGTTAGGATGCTGCCTTAGAACACCAAGATAGCTTGCTAGATATTCTCATATCATAGTCTGCTTACTCTCAGAATGAACATAACTGATTTAATCGGAGTAAAGATGACTTGGTGTGCACTAGCCGCTCATTAAAACAACAAAGATAGCAGGACAGAGTGAGAAAACGAGGAATTTAGAGGAAGAAAAGAAGAAGAGGTGAAACAGTGCCATAACTGGTGTCATTTGCCAGGTCAATGGGAAGTAAAACCTACTGAGGGAACCTTAGTAAGATAATACTTCTATAGGGGAAGATGTCACTAAAATCCAAATGTTTGGTCTACTCGTCATGCTGGTGCCACGCATGGGTGGTTTTGCACCTGTGGACGGCCACACACGTTCCCATAAAACACCTCGCCCTTTGTAAATGGTGCAAAAGATACACCGGCTAAAGTGACAGCTGAGTAAATGCTCTTTGACTTAAATGTGGTTCACCTGAAACTGGCAATTGACACAAACAAATGGGCACTGTTGGGAGTGATGGACGAGAAGGAAAGGTCTTGAGAGGACAGGAAAGAGTCGCCGGATACCTTTGACAACGGTCAACCATGCTGAATGATGGGAGATCCCGATAGAATTGCCCGCCAAGCAAGTATACACCCCAGCATCCTCAAAGGACACATTCCTCAACTGGAGCACCTCCATCTCCTTGTCGGTGGTGTTGAGGCCAGCCGTCTGGAAGAGAACGAGAAAAGCAGACCCGAGGCCCAAGACGTGAGGGGAAAGGAGGAGGAAGCGGGACCACATTGAGCTTAGGGAGTTGTTGTTTTTGGTTGTTTTAAAAACCAGTTAGACGCTCCCAAAGCTCAGAAAGCCACCTGAAACCTTTCCATCACCTGTAGAGAGACCAAATATCACTGCCCAGCACCATCACCACCAGTCTACCTCCACCTACATCAGGCAAGCCACATGGAGAGTCTCTCCAGTAAGACCCAATCCATAGCGAAGGAATTATTGCCATTGTTTGGGTCAACTGGAAGTTTCCATGGCATTATTGAATAGGAAAACCCAAAGCATGAGAGAAACCCAAAGCAAAAACCTCTACAGAGATCATTTCAGACTAGCCTGTGATCAAGTTACCTTGTCTAAGGACAGTTAACCAGGCTGACTGATTGGCTTCTCCTATATAATTGGACACTTTGCATATATACTCGCCGCCCTCTTCTTCTGTGATATTGTAGAGTGTCAGCACCTGGGTGTCCGAGCTATTGACCCCCGAGTGCTGGAGACAACAAGAGACCAAATTCATGACATCCAGTCCCAAACCACCACATCCTAATATGTGTGGATCACTTATACGAAACCTCGGCATACAACTCGGTCTTAAGCAAATTGGCTGCATTTCATTGTAAAACTTTTACCTTTAGGACGCGTACGTAAGGGAGTCCATCAGGTCCCAGTTGACTTCCGTTCACCAATATGTGTTTGAGCCACTGGATGTGAGGCTGGGGATCGCTGAAAACCTTGCATACAAACTCGACGTCACTGCCAACCACAGCCGTTCGGTTTGCAGGGAGACCAGCATACAGGATGGGCCTGTGAGGTGATCGCTCTGCAATATACACAAGGGTTTTTTTTAAGGCTTGAATTTAATTGCAATATATATTCTTGGACTGCCACTGGTCGAGACTGAGACGTGACTGACCCACTACATCCAGCTGATAGGTGTGATTGATGCTTCCGTATTCATTCTCCACCAGGCATGTGTAGTTGCCCTTGTCTGAGGGCACCACAGACTCCATGATTATGGTCCACATGTGTTCCCGCAGCTGAGAATGGAAAAAAAGAAATATTTAAAATAGATTCATAAAATGTTTATATTGAATATATACACAGCCCAGACAAAAGAAAGTCACCGTTTGGATTAAATTGGAAAATGCTTGAGAGTCAATGATTGAATAATTGCATTTTTGTTTCGCAACAGTTCTTCTAACCCTATTGATGGAGCGTGTAGCTTTTCATTTCTTAAACAATGTAGGAAGACACATCATGGCAATATTCCAGGATGACAATGTCAAGATTCATCAGGCTCAAATTGTGAAAGAATGGTTGGGAGGGAGCATGAAGAATAATTTCACACTTAATTTCTGTATACTTAGTTGGAAATGGCTGATGTAACAATCTTGAATCTCGAAATTGGCAGCAAGATAATCAAATATTTTGTGCATATTCAGTATATCACAAAGCCCTAATTATCACTGCGGCTATCTACTCGTAACCAGACCTCTCATGTTGCCTGCACGTTTAAATCAGGGTGTGTGTATTCAGGTGTCGGGTTCAGGGTGTCGAGATTCAGGCTGTGATTTTGGCCTATTGTGAGCTGAGGTTTCAGCTTTCCTTCTCTCGGCTCAGGTGCAGAGTAAATGAGGGTTGTATGTCCTACATAACAGTGATATCACAACAGAAGTCAGCTACTGAAGTCTTCTCGTGTGCAAACGTACCTTGTAGCCCCCGATGCGCTGGTCTCTTTTGAACTCTTTTCCATTCTTGAGCCAGCGTAGTTTCGGAGTTGGGTTTCCCTCGGCCTGACATCGGAATTTCACCGTTCTGCTGGCCGGAACGGCATGAAGCTTTTTTTCCATCTTTTCAGGCTGAGCCCAGTGAGGTGCCATTGCTAAAGAGAAAATATGGTATTTAACAAAACAACAAACATTTCATAATTTGATTGTCTTCCTGAAAAAGAGAGTGCATGCTTACGTAAGAGCTCCTGGCTACTTGACGGCTTGTTCTCTTCTGACGATGACTCATCGTCGTCCTCATCCTCGGAAGACGCTACTGCGTGACCTGTGACAAAGTCGACAGAATGTGTATCAGAGAATAAATTCATACAGCCGTTCATAAAGGTCAGAATGAAGCTATTTCACCATGAGCAATTTCAGACGTCACAAATTCAACAAAACACAGATTTATTTGTCTGTCTCTCTACTAGAATCCTGGCCAGGGAGCAGAGAATAGCAGCAGATTAAGAAAGGAGAGGTTTGCAATGCTTTTCATTTTTATTCACAATACTGTCCCACATTTTGTAGTCGTGCTTGATCAGGTTAGTGAACGGAATAAACGCATCCGCCCTTCACAGAGCGCCGGACAGTGAGAGAGCATGAGTCACTGCAGGCTCCGCTCCAGATCCATGCACACATTTGAATCACACAGACGCAAACACGGACACACACACACACTCACTCACTCTAGGGAGCTGTCTCCACAGCCGAACAGGGAGAAAAGACCTCACAAAGCCTCAGTTGCTCATCTATGACAACAATACGACCTCAAAAAGCAAATTAAATGAAAGTGACATGTCACTTGTTTTCTTGTTCATTTGCTTAGAAAAGTAACAGAACTACTTTCTTCTACAAGCCACATCATTTGAGATATCATTCATGTCCATAGCACAAACGGTGAGGGACAAGTCAGGGGTTTTAAAAAAATACACCATCAGCCATACCCAAAAAAAAAGAACAAAAGGTGCAATTTGCAGAGAAAATTGTTTCTTCGATATAAAAAAAAGCTCATCCTCTCTAAGCTCCTACAAGACGTACCTGTCACATTAACGATGAAATAGGCAGAGTGGTTGCCCAGAAAGCTCTGGACAGTGCAGGAGTAAAGCCCAGAGTCTGTCGGCTTTACTGACCCGATCTCCAGCTGGCCCCTATTCACCCACATGTGGTCTCCATTCAGCAATGCAGCGTGGTCTCTTGTCCAGATGACCCCTAGGCCTACAATTGGGGTCTCGTCTTGAGTCAAACACTGCAGCACCAAACGCTCCCCGGGGAACAATGTGTACAGCTCCATTTTCACCTCTGTTCGGACTAGTGGTGGAACAGAAGACCAGCATGGAATGTTTGGCAAAGGGGGAACTGGAGCAAAATCGGTATTTCAAAACAAAGTGTGAGACAAGACTCAGAGACAACGCTGGTCCAAAGGAAACTGAAGAACCACTAAACTTAAATAAGGGCCATGACTAACAAAAAGAGGCATGAGTTTGTAAAGCACTATGGAGAAAGAAAACTTCTAAGAAATGCTTTAAAAAACAAAACACCAAAAAAACTAATTAGTTTAAAGAAAACTCAGTATATGAAAACTGATGCCACAAAGTCAAAAAAGATGAAAAAGTTATGCAAGTCAGATATCCGGAAATAACAAATCAAGACCACATCTGGGGAATATTTTAACCTAAAAGTAAAAGAAAATAATTATTATATTTTGGGTAAAGGAAATTAAGCATTAAGGTTTTTTTTTTGGGTTTTTTTGCATTATGACATTTTCATGACTATTTAGCACATTTCAATTAAGCAAATTCCAGTTATGCCAAAATAACAATATCTTTCTTTTGACTGATATCATGATTTACAATAAGAATACAAAGTAAAGAAAGTATTTGTTGTTCTGCATTTAATCATGCTGTTTTATAATAAAAATAAAAGATAATCATTAAAAAAATTCATTAAAACTAATGACAGTTTTACAAAAAAGTTAAATATCTGAAAATTAAGAGAATATTTTTATATGAAAATTAAGCACATTTTCCCAAGAAAAAAACTGGCAATACAAAATATCCAAATAGTCTTAAATATTATTTTCTTAAATAAACTTATATAATTAATCGTAATATAATTATCATAAAATATTAAACTTTTTTTTATTTTATTTTTTTATGTGCAATGGGGCCCAGGGTCTTTATCATGAGATTCACCCATGAATTCAATATTGCACTCTGCTCAAACACTTTGAATCAAAAACAATACAATAAATGCACTTTAGAAATGCACTTCCTCTACAAAAGAGTGGGAAGTTCTGGAGGTTAAAAATGAAACAGTTTAAAGATTAACCTCCTGTGACCCACTACACTTACTAAGACTGAATTTCAGTGCATACAAACAAAAGCCAAAAACAAAAACCCTGACGCCAGAGCATACGGCAGTTCCCATTCAAAGAGACCCCCCACTAACCTTAAGTCACCTTAATTGTCAAACAAACTAATCCTTCCCTTTTGTCCTCCACAATGTTTCTTGACAATGCGAGCGGATCCGTAAGAGATGGAAGGGGGAAAGAGAGTCAGTTTGGAGAGACAGAGAAGAGCCTGTAACAGCAGGTTCCTCGGCTAGTTGTCATGGAGATCTCACTTGAGCCAACTGGAGGTATTTCCTGGATCACAGGCCCCTTAATCCCAGCAAGGAAACGGGACGAGAGGGGGGTGGGATCAACTTTCGTTTCAGCCCAATTTAACAACAACAAAAAGCATGCCGAGCAGGAAAGTAGAGGCTGGGGGAGATGCTGGACTTGAAATGAGGACTGATGTCTTATCGTATATACTTCCATTCACTTTATTTTCAATCATTCCAATCACTTACTAGAGCAGAAACAGGACACACACCTTAAACCTCACATTTACAAGAAAAACAGCACATATAACTCCAGTTAAAAAGGGTTGACAACTCCCAGCATGCCTTTTGATGTCTAAACGTCTGGCTGTTACTATTGTTGCAATTAATCCAGCAAAATTATTTTTAAGAGTCTACCCTTCGTAAATACTTCATAGTCTTACTGGTTTTGCTTCAAGTGGCAACAAAAAAAATCCATAAAAATATCAATGTAACCATGAATGAACATTTATAGGCCAAATGACTATATGACTGAGAGTGTCGTTTTCAAATTACTCTTGAATTTCAATGGTTTCATCAAGTGAACTTGTAGTCTGGGTAGTACTGTTTTAGTTTCCATGTGTGATTTTTATTTACTAATATTGTTATTTTTCCCCTCTGATCACAACCATTTAAGAACAGACCCATTTTTGGGGTTTAAAAACGAGGCAATCACAATAGCCTTTTAAAAAGGCTAATGTAGTGAATGTTAAGTAAGAATATCTTACAAAGCTATTGCACAAGCTTCACCTTAAAGGGGCTTTTTGCACATGAGAATAAAAATTTGGTCCTCATCATGCGGGAATTCAAACCATTCCTCTGGTCAAATTGGAAGCAGTCGATAACAGGAGGGGGAGCGCACCACATATGGCCGAATGGGGAAACTGTCAAACTAGAAGCACATTTTGTTTACGGAAGAAATTCCACAAAGCAGAAAGAATCATAATTTGTCCCTACGTCATTTGTCCCAGTCTGTAAGACCCAAAAACACAAGCATGATTTCATCGCAAGCTGTACCAACGCACATCTGTGTGCTCAGATTTAGACCGCTCCGAACTGGCTTCTTGGAGAACCGAAGAGAATGTGTGTTTTTTTTCCAGAGGAAGGCGGAGGCCTGACCCATTTGTCTTGGTCAGTCAGTACAGGCTGAAGTGGACAACATCTGTCATCACCTCATTATTCATCCAACGACATCTTTAAAAGCCCAAAAGTCGTTCAATTTCAGATCATTACAACCCTTTTAATGAAGCAAAGCTTCAATAAAACAATCCTCGAATCCTTATAGCTGTCCTGTCTCTCCGCATCAGCCAGGATTGCTGCTAAGCTCTGGACTTGGCTGGGAATCAATAGAGGAAGTCCTCGTCTGGATGGATTGCTGCTGGGATTTCCTGCCTGGCTAGTAATACTGCTGGGCACCGAGTTACTACAACAACTCAATTCAGGCAAGAAGGCAAACAGACAGTTCGATCAAGGCTCACAAACAATGGACCAAGAGTTTATGCAGCAACAGGATATTTGCGATGGCTGTTTTCACATGCAGATGAGCTCTGCGGCCCACAACTTAGTACAACATATTAGTGTGTTAAGCAACTGTGAATGATGGACACTGTGGACTTGAATGCAAAAATGCATCAATAAGTATGTTGTAGACAATTGAGACTATAGTGCAAGTGTTGGTGTCAGGCCGTCACATCAACAATTCTGACCGTTCCCCTTACTTACACTAAAAGGTTAAAAGCAAATTATCAAACCACTTCATTTCACAACTATCGGGATGATTGACGTATTAAAATTCAGACAGAAATGCTGATGACAATTTTCATGATATGGCTGATAATACAATTTAACAATGTTTTAATGTATACTAAAAAAATAAGGCATCAACATAAAGCACAGTGTGAATATGGATATTCATTTTGAAATTGGCTAAAAATAACATTTAACAATGTTAATAAATTGTTTGATTCATTCGATTAACTTTAAGCGAGCATTGGTTAAATTTAATATTTAATTAATTAAATTTTTTTAATTTTTAAAAATTTAATTTACATAATTAAATTTACTATTAATATGCGTTTTGGTCGATTGGATCACAAGTGTGTGACGCTAAACACAGGTGTAAATGGGGTCTAAAATGTTTTTAGCTTGTCCACTTTCGACCAATTCCAGAGGTAGTCGAAAACGCATTCAACCGGATTTCTTTCGTAGTGTAAACGCTCATGTGGTCAAATACATGCGAACAGCTGCAAAAGACGCCTACTCTCTGCCAACTGACTTAATGCGTAACCATTATGATTAAACATGATTTAAACTTTGTCGGCTGGAGACGCAAGTTTGTTATGAAGACGAAAAGCGTACAAAGCACAATGTTCTCTCAACATTCCTGATTTCTAACACACACTCACAGTGTTCGGCTGGTCTTGTGGCTGTGAAAGCTAATGCTCCCCGTATGTTTTTCTGTTTTCTCCAGTCGTGTTAATATGTAAATTGTGTGAGCTTATTTCATCCATTAAATCGAAAGATCTGAAAAAAAAACCCATGCATTTACCCACCCATAGAACCTTCACTCAAAGAAATCAGGACAGAAGTGGTTGGAAGTGGACAAAAGAGAGATTAAAACACCAGGTGTAAACTGCATCTTAATACCAAGTGTAAACAGGGCCTTAGATGACAGTATAAATGTAAAAAGCTTTTAGCAAGTTAAGGATTCTTTGCAATGCTGTGCATTCTACCATGATCCATCTGAACCTCTAAGGTTTCAAGAAAGAGTGAAAGACCCTAAAGCTCCATGGACGCATAAAGGAAAAGCATCTGTAGTCCTAGAGCACACCAGACCCTAATGAGTTCCAGCTCCACTAGTTAACTCCACATCAAAAAACAGAGCCGTGACCAGAACTCTGCTGCTCCATGAGGTGGAGCCTATTGTAAGAGATGATTCATAAATGTGTGTTCATCCTTAAATCACACAAGTAAAAGATATGCTGCTTTCATCCATTTGTTCGATTTTGCGCCACCTTCGATTAAGCATATCCTGGAAGTGAACACTAGAAAAGGGAAAACTTACCTTGTTCGGTTACTGCGGGACGGGAGTGGGCCAAGGGGAGGTGAGCTAGAACAACCCACAGGAGAAGCAAATGCCATGACTTCATCATCCTGAGAGAAGTCATGCCACGGCAGCTGGACGAAGAGGGTGGGATGAAACAGCTCATTCACACAGCTGTGGGCAGCGCTGGGCCATCAACACCAGCAGCATAGAGCTACCTGCCAAAAAAAGTGAAAGAGAATGTGTACAGGAAATAGTCTAATATGGTATGCATGAATGCAAATAAGGGAAAAAACTAACTTTTCATAGGAATGATCTGGCTTTTTATTTTAAATTCCTATGCTAGGGTGCTGGAGAGCTCTGGTTGGTTAAAAATAAAGGTTCTTTATTGGCATCTATGACTCCATGAAAGACCTTTAACGTCCATGGAACCTTTCCACTGCACTAAAGGTTCTTTACAGTGGAAAAGGGGTTCTATGAAAGAACAGTTCTCTTAAGAACTGTTCACTGAAAGGTTCAAGGAACCCAAAATGGCTCTTCTCTTTTGGAACCTTTATTTTTAAGAGTGTACCGGCCCGCCCCGAAGTCTCTTATTCAGGTCCCTAGATATGATTAGATTTGGAAAGTTGGAATGATCTTTAGGAGTTGAGTGCATATGTACACCAACACAATGTAAATGCCACTGAGAAACTTTAATTTTGGGGACATGTTCATTAAATAAGCGTAGCAATCAAATTTGTATTAGTCAAAAAAGTAATGGTAAAGGCTGACTGCTTATTTAAGTTTGTATGACTTTTGTGCATCATTAAAATAGCTACAAAGTTCACTAGAAAATACTATTCATCTAGCAGACTGTGGCAACAGTCTTGCACAATAAAACTTCATGTCCCATAATTCACTGTAGCACGAGAACGATCAAATACATACATAAATATCTAATATGCAGGCATTACTCTTAATTTTGTGTATAGATCCATTTTATTCAGACCAAAATCACTTGAACACACATCACATCACAATTATGATTTCCCAACTCTTAAGTAGGAACCATCCAGAAGGACTAAATAATGCAGTCTTTGTAAGCATAAGAGACTTCTTTCAAAAACATTAAAAAAATCTTATCAACCCCAAACTTTTGAACACTATTGTAAATTTCCACTTATAACTATATCAAAGAGCCACAAAACATTAGCCAGCTACACTCACGCTCTGCTTACAAAGACCAGACCCCTCTCATTTACTGAAATAATACGTCACCTGGCCATAAAGTCCATCTGGCAGTCATTAATTTGACTTCTAAGGCTCCTTCATTGCTATTAAATATTAAGTTTGATTAGCATTGACAACTGTTTATGCATCAATTGACCACACCAGCAGATAAATAATTAAAAACAATTATCCATATTTCAATGCAATAAGCATCCTTTGACATAAAATGTGAATTTAGCTTTAAGGAAAAGCCTACGTAGACTGTAACTTTGAGACAAGAAAACATCACAAATCCAAAACTAATTTAAACATGGTTTTCCCGCACAAGTATGAAGACAACAGAGGCCCCAAACCCCTAGACCCCTCACCCGACAGCAGCTGCCCCCCTGAGAAGGTGTAGAGAGGCCATCCCGGTGGTGTGAAACACATCTGTTAATGCTATGCCCCCCTAAGACTGGCCACTTGACACTTGGCTTTCCTTGGGATCCCAGTCACGCCTCCATCCCTGCCAAACGTTTCCCAACAAAAGACCCGTAATCTGGCGGTTGTTTTTGTATCCCCCTCCTCCAATAATCGCACTGCAAACCATTTGCTCTCGCACCTTCAACTCTACCCACAATCTGATACAAAACAACTTGGTGCCATATGTTCTGCTCTCATTACTATAAGAGTGTGGGGAATTAGAGTATTAGTGAATGCAAACAAGACAAAGTTGTTTCAACTGATAGATTTGCAGCGTGGCGGTGTTGTGGCGAATTTCCACCCCCGCCAAATTATTATTACCCCGCTAGCATTGGTAGGTTTAGGATTAGTTGTGGGGGAGGGGGTAAGATTAGGGGCGGGGTTTGGTTTAGGCAATCAGGTACTGACTTCAACGAGGGGGGTAATAATTTGGCAGGGCGTAGAAATTAGGCACAACAGCGGCATTAGCACCTTCGTTGCATGGCTCAGTCTTGCGCAAGTGCGTTTAAAATACTCGACCGTGATCCGTTTTCATCTGGAGTACAGCAACATCCCATTGTGTTAATTGTGATCACCTAATTAGAATGATAAACGAGGGATGTTCGTCCATTACTGAGAGCTGTCGTACAGACTTCATGCCAAAGTAATTCAGCTAAAGTGCGACCTCTTGGCTACCTAAAGAGATTGTCGCTCTACGGTGGGTGGCGACCCTGAACAAAAAATCCTAAATGCTAGTGTGCAGCAGGTTTATGATAAGGCCATAAACGCAGTTCATTTACCTCACAGGCGCTGTTCATAACCATGTCAAAGTAGTCAAATTTAAGAATCTCTTAAACTGATGAGAATGTGGAGTTTTTTGTGGTACTTTTCACAGATGAAACTGCGGCACGCTGGCGAGATTCAAAGAAATGTTATTGGATAAGCTATAAAAGTGTTTTGCAACAACAGTCACGAAACCATATTAAAAAATGTGTGAAGTTCTAGAGGGATAATAGCTAACACGTTAGTTCTACCAGCAGTCTGAAGGATTTTGCAATCACGCTTCATTGCTTGTGCTTTTTCATACTTGATGTACAGGAAACAAGCCATTTCCAATTTTACCACCAGAAAAAAAAGAAAGAATTAGCCCTACTACTCTCTAATGTATGGAAACTTGCCACGTAACAAATAAAAAAAAGGTCATTGTGACTATCTTACAATTCTGACATTTTTTTCTTGCAATTGTGAGTTTTTCACAATTCTAACTTTTTTTCTCAGAATTACAAGTTTATATCACAATTCTGAGTTTATATGTAAACTTCCAATTGGTAGAAAGTCAGAATTGGGGCATATAAACTAAATTGCGAGAAAAACGTCAGATTTGCCAGTTTATAAGTGCAATTGCGAGTTTATATCTCACAATTCTGAGGGAAAAAAAAAGTCAAATATGAATGGAAGCTTCATTTTTCTGACTTTATAACATGCAATTGCAAGAAAAAAGAAGCTTCCATACTTATAAAACTAATGCATGCACATTACAGATTAGCAAATAAATTGAAATGTTAAATGTATACACTGCAAATAAAACAGATAATAAAATTATAAAAAAAAATAATAAATACACTAAAAAGATAAATAGTTTTAATTAATTTCATATTTTGCCCAAAATACCATTGGAGTAAATTATTGACTTGATACTTGTACTATTCTCTTATGGAAGCTGCTTTTCGATGAAAGTATCTTCTAAATGGATAAACGCAAATGAAGAAACTTATTTTCTACTAAAACTATCAAAAGTGGAAAACAGCATTGAAACCAGCAGTCCTTTCAGAGCTTTCCACAGTAATGCAGGAGAAGCATTTGAAAAGCCCATTGTGATAATTAAAGGTTGGGGTTTGCTCTGTTCCCTACCCCCCTGAGAGTCCAGCCCGGTCCCTTAATTACTATGCTGCTGCATCCATGCATGACATTCCTCGACTCTGTGTTTGTTTTGGGAGATAGTCATGCAATCCACCCCAGGACCCCACCAACCCGGAGCAACCCCCTGCTCTCGACCGCCTGGGTAGTTATCAGGCTTTACACCTGTAATTGTATAGATTAGGGAAGGAAATCCAAGTGAATATTTTTTTCCATTTCCCTTCCTATCCACACCTCCGTTGCCTGATGCAAACCAAAAACTCCCCCCAAAATTAAAATAACATTAGTGTGCTCTGCAGTGAAGTTTCATAACACTAATGTGAGGGAATCATGGGATATCTAAAACTCTGAATATAAAGCTTCAGCTGCATGCAGTGAATATCCAGTTATGCTGAAAGTGATATTGAGAAGATTACCACGAGGAAACCAGTCACAGCGGGTGATTCAGAAGCCTTCTGACCAGGTGCATGGATGCAGCTTGTCTTTCAGCGCATCCAATATTACACATTCAATTTGGATGGACTCCAGTTGACACAGTCGACTGTGAGATTCGGCTGTAACTCAGCACGAGTGCCTCAATAAGTCAAGATGGGCTCCAAGGGGAGGGGGGGTTGTGGTTTTGAAAATATCAGTTTAATTTATGAATCATCTCTGAAATTAATGCTTGTGAAACAAAGTAGTCATCCTCAGAGATGCTGACACATGTTAGAGAACCAATTCAATGATTCACTCTTGATCAGAAAGTGGCTCTAAAGGTAAACTAGCATAACATATGGGACTGACTCAATATTAATGGGTTCTTGACTAAAATGTTTTGACTGAATCAATGAATGTATCTTACCCCCTCAAGTCAACAACAGGAGTTAGCAAGGGGACATCAGCTCAGTTGTGACAAAACCCCCTGATTTATCATTAACACAGAAACAGATCACCCTGGAAAGGTTTGTTTCCTCAAGGAACACAATACATCCATAACAAACACTGGACAGACAATGCCACCTAGGGTTTTACAGCTCAAAATAGGTCACTTTTCATATTCATTGATATGCAAATTCAGGGAACACAATGTAGCATTCTTATTCTACTCCTGCTGTGAGCACCTATTCAAGGTTTGTCTCTTCATGAATGTGCAAATACAATGGAAATGAGAATGATTTACTTAAAAAAAATACAACTATACATAGGCTATGTAATGTATATGAGGTTACTTACTATATAAATATAAAGGCTATAAGAATACTTCTGTATAAACCCCTCTATATAAAATTAGCAAAACACGTATTTGCAAAAAAAAAAAAAAAGTTTCTTTAAAATATGTTTTTCTGTAGCCCTTTTTCTATTGCTAGGGCTTGTAAACCATGTTCTCTTTCATATACATCAATACAAATTAACATTAGGCTAACAGCATCAGACCTACACGCAAGATGTTGAGGTTCTGTTCTTCCCAAAGTTAAAAACACTCACCTCTGGATGTTATTCTGAACACTGGGTTGTGTTGAAGTGGACTTCTTCTTGGAGTTATTTTGGTTTGTAAAGCATTACTCCACAACAAGCGATCTCCGAAGAAAATGCCCCACGCTGAAGTGAATCAAAACAAGCCACCCAGCCAGATTTCTCTCGTGCAACGCGTCTGTTTCTGCAAAAGTAGCGAGGGGGGAAAAGTCACGTTTAAACTAGCTGAAGCAAACACAAGGTTTTGGTCCAGGTGCGTAGATGAACCGTGAGACAACTTCCACGTCTTTGCTGTTTGGGAATTTGTCATTCATAAACTCGCACGAGTGTCTCGCGGAATACGAAAATTCAAAGAGTCAAAACCGAAGTAAACTGCTGCAAATGTTCGTGTTTGTCTTGCGCTTTCTCTGTCGCTCACAGCAGCGTTTCTTCCCCTCGAAAGGAATATGAAGGAGTTTTTTTTTCTTTGTACCTCCCACTTCCAGGATTTGAGGATTCAAGAATTCCACTGCCCCTTTATCCACCCCCCCACATCCCCCCACATCCCCCCCATTCACCTCTGAAACTCAATGCAGATACTGCTGCTATAGATAGATAGATAGATAGATAGATAGATAGATAGATAGATAGATAGATAGATAGATAGATAGATAGATAGATAGATAGATAGATAGATAGATAGATAGATAGATAGATAGACAGACAGACAGATAGACAGATAGATAGATAGATAGATAGATAGATAGATAGATAGATAGATAGATAGATAGATAGATAGATAGATAGATAGATAGATAGATAGATAGATAGATAGATAGATAGATAGATAGATAGATAGATAGATAGACAATGAGTTGGTCATTGAATAAGTCTCAGCTCCTAATTGGATTCTTTGGAGCAGTTAAACACAGTCAACAGCAGCACTTAACGTCAGATAGGGCTGAAAATATGAACTGCGAAAACAAATAAAGACTCCATTTACTGTTAAAGTCAATAATTACCCAGTCAACTGTATTCATCAGTGTCCCGTGAAGTCCATAATTTGATAATGGACATTGATACATTATTTCTTGAATTCAAGGCTACTGTCTAAGCAACAGTTATGTAAAATATATATCGGCCAAAGGAAAAGAATCACTTACATTTTTACTAACGTGAAAATGATTTCCATCTAGATTCCTTGGTCATCTAGATTCCTTTTTGTGTGTGTTTGTGTTTTGCCTCTCAGCATTATGGTGGTAAAGTTTGCACAAGTAAGAACCTCTTACATTTTTTGTCTGAAAATGTAAAAACTTAAATACCTTAATTTTTACTAAACATTAGTGTGTCTTTTGAATTTAAGATTTGGTCACACAAAATTTCTGATCACAAAGAAGAAAAACAGAAAATCAGCTCAACTTTTAAAAGACTTTAAGTGGGGTTGATTAATTACCTTTTTACTCTGACACCGTTGTATTTTTCAAACAGCTCCCCATGAAGTACTTTACATCAACATTCAAGTCCATTTGCTCACTTCCTTTTAGAGTGAATGTATCTCCATCTGCTGAAACAATCCAACTCTCTCAATACACACGCCACATCGCAAGAGCCGCACCTGCTTTATTTATGAACGTCTGATGTGGTAAAAGGACGACGTGGATCATAGAAAAACCATCTAGTTCGGGTCTAGGTCCCACAGCATTAACATCTGGAGATCCATTTACAGGGTTTTCCAAACCAGTATGTGTGCTGTGTTTTAGAAGGCTGAACTCAAGAAACGCTTTATGGTTACAATTACATGTTTTGTGTTCAATGTGTATGGAAAAAAAAGTATTAATTTGACTCATCTTAGTGACATGTTATACTGGGGTGTGACATTTAATGTTGGTTACCATTGATTTCGAGAATTAAGAGAAATAGGCTATCCATAAATCTGTCGATATTCAGAGATTAAAAAAAGGTTTGAGTGTGGTTTTTGTAGTTCAACAAAGCAAAATAAATAATTCTAATGAAATTTTTCCCCCCTACACCAATATGACCTCATGTAGTACTTAAAGGGATAGTTCACGCAAAAATGAAAATTCTGTCATCATTTACTCACCCTCGTGTTGTTCCAAACCTGTGTACATTTCTTTGTTCTGCTGAACATAAAGGAAGATATTTTGAAGAATGTTTGTGAGCAAAGAGTTGTGGGGCACCATTGACTTCCATAGTATGACTTCAAAGGAAATACTGATCATCATCGACATTCCAATGGCTAAAATATTAATTGTGGTTTTTTTTTTATTAAAAATGCACTATTCAGATTTTGAAAATAACATAAAATGGTTTGTTTGATTTGTTCCAATCAATAACCAGAGTAACACTTCCATTTAGTTTGGACACAGTCCTGCATTACATTATAAGCACTCAAGAGGAAAGACGTTTACTGCTGTAACTGGAAGGGTCAAACATTGGTTAAATCACAAACAATGAGGTGACATTTCCACAGTATCACTGTAACTGGCAGCAGAATCAATTCAGGACAATCGGTAATGCTGGAACTAGCATTAGCTGTTCTGCTCCCATAACACATTGATTTATGCCATAATTGAGAGGGTTTTGGAATCATTTTTGGGGTGATTGATATAGATATATTATATTAATTGACAGTATTCATCAACCTAACAGTAGATATCAACAATGAACGTCAGTCTTTGCATGCGTCACTAATGAGTATCGCAACACAAGTGATATTTTAAACTTTTTTTTTCTGAACTATGAATAGTACAGGACTAAATGAGAAGGTCATCTATCTCAAAATGACGCTGGAGGCAGATGCTACCATTTTGTCAGAAGTATTGATTTCCTCTGCTTATTTTCATCTCATTTATCAGGGAGTGGCTGGACTTGTATCTTGTATCTAAAAATTTTATCTGACCTTTCAAAAAGTGGTGAACAATAGCAGCAAATCTGTGCCAAAGACAAGGCAACCTAGGTTTGAATTATAGACCTTACGTAGCCCCGCCCCTTTCAGCGCTGCGCTCATTGGGACATTCTAAAACGCTTAACGTGAAAAACGCTTAACGTGGCTTACTGCACTAAGACAGTGATATTAAAAGACCAAACTCAGTACACATCATAGATTAATAAACCATACTATGTGTAAAAAAATAAGATGAATCCAAAATATGAACGCAACGCGTAATTAATATTATATTATTAATATATTGTGAACTTTGTCACCTAGGCCTAGTAGGCTAAAATTAGGAAACATTACTTGTGAAAAGGCTTAATGAGAAATTTAGCTCATTGCTTTAACTCTGTTACTTATACACATTTATCAATGGGTGTCCAGCCACATCGCATTTTCTATAATGGATATGGTAAGAAAATAATTAAACGCATTGCGTTCATATTCTGGGCTCATCTTATTATTTTATACATAGTATGGTTTATTAATATGATGTGTACTGAGTTTGGTCTTTTAATATCACTGTCTTAGTACAGTAAGCCACGTTAAGCGTTTTCTTATAACGGTTTTCTATGGGAAGAAAATGCTTAACGTGAAATTAAACGCGTTGCGTTCATATTTTGGACTCATCTTATCTTTTTATACATAGTATGGTTTATTAATATGATGTGTACTGAGTTTGGTCTTTTAATATCACTGTCTTAGTGCAGTAAGCCACGTTAAGCGTTTTTCACGTTAAGCGTTTTAGAATGTCCCCGCTCAGGGTGTTCTGTCTCCCGGTTTGTATTTCCTCAACATGAAGGTAAGATCTTATGGATTTATGAATGAACCGCTCGTTTTAAAATCTATTGACATTTGTTATGACATCTGCTTCAAACATCACAGTGCTCCTGATAACTTTCATTAATTCTACAATAAGTAAATCCACTTCACCAGCTTACTCTTCGACAGCGGTGCCGTAGAAATATACAGAGCAAAAAGCTGGTTGACTGCGGGCTTGCTTCTCTGGCGCACAAGGTCTAAACCGCGTAACACTCTTAAGAAAAGGTTCTATAGAACCTTAAAGTCTCCCTGTGGTTTAAATCAAGTTGATATGTCTATGTGGTGTTTTTAATATGCGTTAAGACAAACCATGTGTAAATTCACAAGTCAACACCATTGCTGAGTATTTTCTCCTTAAAACTGCAGTGAACCAAAGACAGTCTCAAAAACACGGTTTGAAATCGCTGGTGTTTCTGACGTCACAAACTACCTTGTTGTAACCAATCAGATCAACGTGTGATCGTCAACGAGTGGATCTCTGAGCTGGTGTGAGTGAGTGGAGGCGGGGCTCATTTGCACATTACCACATATACTAAATGAGGAAAGGGTTCAAGCTATACTAAGGCATGAAGATTTTTTTTTAAGGAAAAAAAACTTTTAAATATGTAATTTTGGCGATCAAAAATGAGTTTTAAGGGATAAAATTATTGACTACAGGGGGACTTTAAAGGGTTCTGTCAGGTGCTTATTGTATAGAACCTTTTAGGGGTTCCATCGATCATTTTATAGATCTAGTTTTAATTAATTCATTTTTAATCTTAATTAAATTTTATGAATTAAGCAGCTTGTATAGATACATGCAAATATTTAAGATCTCCTTAGAACCTTTTTGACATAAAAGGACATCCATTTCTTTAAAATTGAATCAAATTTAAAATTGGTTCTATTTAAAACTACATTGAAGTCATTGGCTATTTGTGACGTCTTTATATTTGATTAAATATTATAAAAACTAGGGGTGGGAATCTTTTACCATCTCACGATTCAATTCGATTCCGATTCTTGAGGCCACGGTTCGATTCAAAATCGATTTTCGATTAAAAAAGATTTTCGATTTAAAACGATTCGATTTTATCCATAATGATTTCTAATCGGGTTTCTGATCATGATCTACTCTCATCTGCTTTGCTATACAGAATGACAAACGGAGACCAGTGTTTCCTCTAGGATTTTTTCCAGCTGTGGTGGCAGGCCCATTTCGCCAGGGGGAGGGGGCGTGGCCCATGAGTGATATTGCCATTGGCCACGCCCCCTTACCCCAGGTGTTTAAACCTCCCCTAAGTATTATAACATTATAACATGAAAGGCTCGAATAAGAGCGGCAAAGCGATTATGCGCATCCCGTGCGCAGAATGATGCACTTGAAGCAACGCGAAGTCACAGCGCGCAGCGCTCCGGATTGAAAAGTTCAAAGCACAAAGCGAAGAGATTATATCTGTCTATCTATGCTTAATGTATTATATATTTGCAACAGTTTATTGAGCATTTTCTTTTAACAGTTTTAAATTTCAGTTACAGTGTGTGCGGATGAAGAACAATTCATAGCGCTCTCCAGTGCTGTAATCTAACAGACACCCGGGAGAAAGGATTATGATTTAAAAAACGCTATAACGCGACGCGCTGTTTGAATGTTGAATTGAGAATGACTGAGGAGAGATGAGTTTCCATTAACTTTAACTAACGACTTAAATATTCATTTTTACC